AATCAAAACACCCAAGAAAATGGAGGAAAACTATCCAGGAGGGAGAAGATGTCTGGATTATGGACAGGAATGAGGTGGTGATGACATTGCTTAAAGAGATGACAGGAGCTGAGCTAGCAGAGCTACTGTTTTCATGCTTTAGGCTTCCTCAGGTCTCTGACAGGTCACCTGAATAGCCTAACCATACTTTCCTTCTCCATCTCCCGAAAAAACCTGGTTACCCACTCTAGCACTTCCACAGTCAAGACCTTTTCTGGAATGGCCTCCTCAGAGACGTTGCAGTAGATACCTGATGACCCAGGTATTAGTAGGGAGCTACCTGTCCTTAGGACAAAGAGGGGAAGGACTTATCTCACTTGCAAGAAAAGAGATGGAAAGAGAGATGGAAACTAATGAAAGGACTACACTGGTTTTGATGTGTGACAAGGGGATCTGCACTGCACATACCTTATGCTCCAAACATTTCAGGGTTGGTGCAGCTCTGTAGAAATACACAGGACATGAGCAGACATTCTCTTCAGCAGAGGGCAGGGCTACCCATTCATTAACCATCATGTCATCATAATCATCTGAGGTGATTTCTGGCCCTATCAGGTAACATTTGGTTTGTTTGGATATATTCCACTCCCTAAGCACATGCCAGCAAGTAGAGCACAGTGTGCAAATTATCTGAACAATACAGTTACTCAAAGATCATCATTACACACACTGGCAAACTTCCCAGTAGCCTTTAGTGAACCACAGGCTCACAGTGAAGAGGAGGTAAAAATTATAGTTAGAAAAGGGAAGGATATTGTTATCAAAGCACTTTCAAAATATCCTAGGTAAAAACTAGCTTTATTATTAAACTGCAAGTGGATTCAAACACCCAGAGCTGAATTCTCCTGAACTTTGAAACATAGACAAGCTTAAGGTCTGGATTTAAAGTCACAGGGTATTTGCATCAAGGCCACTTTCAGGATGAAGTCAGTTCAGAAAAATGTGCATTTCCAACTTTACCCATATGCCCTATGGGGAGCAGGGTGGCAGGAGGGGAGGAGGGGGAGTTTCTAATTATGACATTATATCCATGCATGTTACATTAAAGGGTAACTGAAACCAAAGAAACTAAATGTACACTATTGCATGCTATGGACATGTAGAACTTCATGGTTAAGTTGCCAGTTTATCAAAAACACTTTAACTTCTTTCTTGTATGAAGACGATTACTGGTTCTTTAGACAATACTGGGGGGAAAGGGAAACTGGCTTCATATTGTGCTGTCCAATTCCACTTCTCTACCTTGTTTGGGTCTTTCACGCAGCAATAGAGGGAAAGAACATTTTACAAATAATAACATGCAACTGTAAGGACAGAAACTGCAGAACCCAGGCCCCAAACCCAAGCTTTAGTGCCCAAAAAGGAGTTATAAGGACTCTGTGGGCATTTATACACCTGCTAGGAGTGTGTGGGAGGGAGGGGAGGGGGAGGAGGTAGGGGGGAGAGGAGTGCTTTAATTAGAGCAGTTCCAAAAGCGGCTCTAATTTAACCACCTGTACTGTCTTGTGTATCAGCACCCCTGCAATTCAAAATTTTGATGCATGAGATGCGGAGGCTGCTGGAGGCATGCTAATTAGCATGCTCCAGCAGATTTGATTAATTGAGTCTGTTCCAACACACTGTAATTACAGGGCATCAGAGCAGTCTCCCCACATGTCTATAGGCACCCCCTATTCTGCCCTTGCACATAGAGGAGATGGACACCTAATGCTCTCAGGCTGTTTTGTGTCTTTTTAAGACTTAGCAGTTAGCTGGGAATTATGATTGGAAACTCCCAAAATTCCAGTGGGAGTCAATATTAGAGCTAGAAATTCTAGTATTTTAATCTCTGCTCTCAGTTTACTAAATCAAGAGACGTTTGATCTTAGCATAGGACTGCACATACAATTCATTCTACCACTGGGAGAATGGAAAGGTTTTGGACCAGGACTCCTCATAGAACTTTTTGGCAGTGTAGATAACTGGACAAAACTTCAGCTTCTAAAATCTTCACCCATAAATCTCCCTTCGCTAGGTTGTATGATATGTGGTGTATCTGCCAAAAGGACTGAGGATGTGGACAGACAAAACAATTATACCTGTTTTTTGTCTGTCCACATCCTCACTCCTTTTGGTAGATACACCACATATCACTGAGCTGACATAAGTTTTTTCTCTGTCTCTTTCATATGGAAGGAAGTGCAGCCATACTTCTCTAACTTTAAATGTTTTATTTAAATTGAAAAGTCGAGGAGTTTAGGGCTACTTATGTGGGGCTGGGAACAAACGGACCAAACAGTTACATCAGTTCAGTTGACACATGCTTCTGGACGGCAATCCTTTTCCCTTCTTTTCTAACTGGTGTAATATTAGCTCTGCTCAAACTCAAAGCTGGAGTTTTCAATGAAATTGAACCAACAGAATAAAACTCATTGACTGGTTAAAGGACTCTTGTAGCTAGCTTTCCCAGGAGAAGCAAGGATGCTTGCATGATCTGACCAGGCTTTCTACAAGGTCAGTATTTCCAACTCATGATTTTAATAAAGTGCCACAAAATTGTGGATCCCACAGACTTCAGGCTCATGCTGGTTCTTCTCATCTATGTCAAAAGTTTGACATGTATGGAAATCACATCAAATGGATTATTACTGGAATCCTTTGAGCTTTCAAGCAACCTGATATCATTCTTTTGTCATCTGTGAGAATAACCGAAGCCACAAGTAGCAGGGGTTTTAAAATTCTTGCAATGTGCCAAATTAATGTAAACCTTTACATGTATTGTATGGGTGCTTTCATTTTTTTGATGCACCTTCAACAATAAGCAAATGATGCAATTAAAAATGAACATGCAGTAATAGAATGCCCCCTCCTGATGTGATCTTTAGAGACTGTTAAGATAAAAATCAAGATTTGTTAATGATGTGTATCTTTATTTAACTTGTACAGTTTCATAGTTTCTAGGGTCAGAAGGGACCTGAGCAGATTATCGAGTCCAACCCCCTGCCATAGCAGGAAAGAGTACTGGGGTCAAACGACCCCAGCAAGGTGTACATCTAGCCTCCTCTTAAAGACCCCCAGGGCAGAAGCCAGCACCGCCTCCTGAAGTACTTAAGTCTGGCCAGAAATTGGAGCTAAAAATACTCTTACCCATGTTACTAGAAATAATTATTAAAACTCTTCCTAGACTTATTTTTAGGCAAACCCATGAATTTGTCTTTTGCGTTAATGTAATTCTATGGAGGACAAAGAAGTTATTTCACTTTCAGACTGAAGAAACTAAAGAGGGAGAGAACAGACCAGATTATATCAGTCTTCTCTCCAGTTCTTACACTAATGTAGAATGAGACTCTTTTTGATTCTTTGACAATCTCACCTCTTTGGAGGTCAGAGAATGTAAACGTAGCTCTTGGTATTTACAGCACTCCATCTATTTTAATACTGAGTGAAAGTGTACCCCTCACACCTGAAAAGACTCAAGTTTTCTTTTCTTTCTGCTTTAATTTTCATTTACCTTTGACTAGTTTTGTACTAATTGTGTAAGAAGTTACTATTAAAAAATAAACATGACACTAGGTTGTATTGAACCAATTTTAAAATCTTGTTCATTTTTCAACACATACGATGTGCAGGCCAAATCCTGAAGTCAAGACTTGACTAAAAGATCCTTCAAACCTGATTGACAACTCACTGATGTGACTTCACTGGCTTAAATTAAGTTAAAGATTTTTCTGTGCAAGCCAGTTAAAATTCAGTTGAAACCAATTGCCTTGATTCTGCACTGAATGAGGACTGGAAGCCTTTAAATTTCCACTGAAGTTAGTCCAAGCTGAAATACACAGGACTTAATGGATTCATGTCCCACATAAGAACCTGTTTTTACTTCTTACAGATGACTCAGTGTGGATAATGAAATAACACTTTTTTCGTTTCTGTTTCTGGTTGCTTGTATTTTCTGGTTGACATGCAGTAGAATAGTAAGCTTAGGACTTCAGCTCAGCAGGGTACTGCTGAAATCAAAGGGAAAAAAAACAAGCAGCACTTCACATTTCTAGTTATAGTTTTGCAGGGGCCCTTATGCAAACTTTTCCATTAAGTGCACTTGGTAGAGACAGACTGTCAAGGGCCCTTTTCATTAACCTGGTAGAAACAAGGGAAACCCTAGCATTTATTTAGACTGAACAGAACATTTTCAGTTGGACTTGGCCTTAAAGTGTTACAAGTGATAAGTGCTGGCTAACGGAGTATTACAAGAGAATAAATAGAGTGGAAATATATTCCAAATGTTACATGATATTTAATCACAGGTAAATCCTAGCCTGCAGCTTTTTGCCTCCTCTACATCAATATTTTAGATTCTTCTCTTCAGGGATCTTTGCAGTGAAGTGTATACGTTTAATACTTTGCACTTCTTAAAATGAACTCTCCTGTAAACATTCTTCCTCCAACTGAAAGAGACAATAAGAAACCAGCTGCTTACGTCTTATTCAATCTTTTGTGCCAAAACTGATTTTGTGTTTAATTTTTGCCACTGCTGAGTTTTTAGAGGAAGTTAAAACGATGAGGCAGAGGTACAGACTGGGGAGACTTTTAATGTCTCATGTGGCTTGTGTATGACCTATGCAGCATTTATACATATACCAGGGCATAAATCTACAGATTTAGCATAGGAGAACACATTTCAAAAGATAGGAAAACATCATGTTACTGATAAACATCCTGTTACTGATGGAGAGTTTGGAGTTCCTTAAGTACAAAGATGCCCACTACACCCTATGCAGTGATGCACTGAGGAGCGAGAAAGTGCCTTGGACGATTAGTGCCTAGGAAGATAAGGGAAAAAGAGAAGCTCTTTGCTTCTGGGCAGTTACCTGGGCCAAGTTATGTGCTTTAGCTCTCTGCATTCTCTCTGTCACATCCACATATACACAGGCTGGAATCCCTCAACCCAGGTTACATTATTTTTTCTTTAGTTATGTTGTTACCTGACACATCCAGGTGCTCCAGGTTTGGACACAGTGACACCACATCAAAGACTGCTTCGTTGGAGATGTTATAACAGCCTGACACCTCTAACCTCCTCAGTTCTGGACAGCATTGAGCTATGGTATAGAGTCCCCTGTCTGTGAGCCGCCTGCAGCCACTAACAATTACTGTTTCCAACATGAGACATACATTTGGCGTGTCCTGACAAAGCCTCCGGGTTAGCACTTTAAGAGCCCTATCTACATTGATTGTCTCGCCTGTCAGGCGAATAGTCCTCCAAAGCCGTGGATCCCAAGCCAGGTTATACCAGCGGCGACACACCCGGGCACAGCGGCACAACTGATTGGTTGGCAGGAAAGAGAAAATGTGGATCATGGACTGGTCTGGGAGCCGATCTATGTTAGCTTGTTCCTTCTGATGCTTGGATGCCAGCCGGATGAGAGGATGAGTAAGGCGAGTTGGAGGAGGTGAATGGACCATAGCAACTGTCTCCCCAGTGACTGAGGATGAGGAGGTGGAAGATCCTCTGCCATTATGGCAGCCTTGTGAATTCTGTGGACATATTAATGCTGGACTGGGTGTGCTGAGTGTCCGCATACTCAGGTCAGAATCTGGAAAACACCAAAGCACAGAAAAGCAGTGAACAAATGCCATCAGCAGAAGCCATATCCTGTAGCAGAACAAACCTGTCTTATACAGAGCTCTCTGGCTTTCAGCATAGCATGGGGACATTTCTTCAGGGGCCACAGTATGGTCTAATTTACACTGATGTAACTGAATCTGGTGCCAAAGATGCCTGCCAATATCCTCAGACTAGACTGCAACATATGAAAAATTTCACTAAGAAGAACCTTGGATGAAGTATGGGCTCTTATGGTGTTGTAAACTAATGTTTTTGACCTAACTTTGGGCATGAATCTCCAGACACTTTGTAAATATTTGTCCTTATCCAAAACAGCCTACCTGGACTCAGCGTTATTGCTCACATCAACGGGATCAGGCCACTCAAGCCCCAGAGCCCAGGGTGGCCAGAGAGTGCAGGCAGCTCTGCGTTGCCTTCACTCTCCTGCTTCAGAGCAAATAGATATCCAAAGAAATAAAGCACCACTATTTTATACTACCCTTTGTCGCAACACTTAATGTGGTGTAAAAAGGGAGGGATGTCTATTTCCTCATCATTTGTGCCGCCGTCTGTCAGGCAACATCTGTTTCTACCCATGGGCACATCTACACAAGCATTAATGTACTTTAGTTAATACACATTAAATCTAGTAGCTGTGATGTACTAGGAAAATGTGCATTAGCTTGTCTTAATGCATATTAACTAAAGAGCATAGGGCACTTTACACATGCTCTGGGGGGAGGGAGGCAGCTCTTTAAATAGAACAGCTTCAACAGCCACTCTAATTAAAGCACCACAGCGTCTCATGCATCAGCATCTGCATGCTTCAACATGGCAGCTTGAACATGGCAGCTTGAACTAAAGCTTGTTCATTAATTGAGTCTGCTCCAACACAGTGTAATTACAGTGCGTTGGAGTAGCCTTCACACTTGGTTTTTAAGTGATGCTTAATGAGCATTAATCTCTTTAATGTTCATTAAAGTGTCACTTAAAATGTGTTATTTAGTTAATGCACATTAAAATAGGCTAATGTGCATTAAGGCGCACATGTAGACATGCCCACAGGGTAGGAAGATAAACATGAACGTAAATCATTGCAATTTGGGGGGCTTTGCCATTGCTCTTCTCACTAGGATTTTGATAGCAATAAACACCTTTTTTGTTCACTGCTAAATTACTGTGTGGCAGAAACCTTCTGCCATTTTTGATGGCAACTTAACTATGCACTGCGACCCCCCCAACACCAACTCAACCAAAAAGACACGTTTCTGTTCCTGCTGTGTTTGTGCATAAGTGTTGCACACAAGAAAGGGAAACTGAAGGTTTTTACACAAAAAGTCAGCAATACTATTTTCATTACAGGGAAAGTTAGTGGAAGGAAACAAAAGAAAAGTCAATTCTCTCAGTTCTTGTCATCTACTCTTACTACAAGCAACACTAACACTGAAGTGCAAGAGATTTAAAATCAGAGAGAGAAGTGGGCTTTTCATGTTGCTGTTGCCCCATTTGTGTTAATTTACAGCAATCAATAGCAGTTAGTTTATTTCTTCTGAAACACAGATGAGCCTTTATTTTTCTACCAGGCTTTGTCCCATCTACTAATATTGCAGGATAGAAATTGTGCTCTCAATTCATTCCCTCCTTCAGAAGCATTTATCACAATACCATTTGCAGGTTCAGTTATGGAAGCTATTTTTCAAAACAGATGTTGCAAAGAATAGTACACTCTGCCTCATATGGCAATAACACACACTTGTTTAATGAGTAAAAAAGTGAACATGTTTGTGCACACAAATGCAATAGTTCCTCATTGCCAAGTGAGTTGTGTACCTCTTAGGGCCCTAGCACATATGCATTTAAAGGAATGATGGCATCTGATCTACAGTCCCAACAATTGTGCCTCCTACTATGCTACATATCGTGTATGGCAGGGCATGTAATTGTTGGGATCAGGGATCAGATCCCAATCACACTGTTATTACTTGCCAGTGCAGGGGCAGCCTTGGATCATAAACCCCCAGCACCAATGAGTTGGAAGAGCAGTGCCCACAGGTCCAGAGGGCTGACAATCAGCTGATTTTTGGCTCCAGCTCTGGACAGCATTAGGACCGGTTTGAGTCCTCAGTGTTGTGGGACATTAAACCCTGCCTCTGATTCTTGGCAGCCCTGCTAATGCTATCAGACATTGTGTTTAAAGTCCTTGGCAGGGAAACTGTCAGGGAACTTTTTAAACCTCCCTGGTCACCAGAAGCCAGAATCTAGGGAGCCTCTCCCCACTATGTGGGGCCAAATGCCCAGGGAGTTTTAAAAAGCACACCTGCAGCACTGTGTGGGGAAAGGGCAGCTGGGAAGCTGTCCAGCTGCCTGTTGCCAAACTATGAAGTGGTGCCTATAGATGGGGAACAGGGAGCTGCCACTTCCATGGTCACCCTGAGAACTTAAAAGTCATAGAAAAGTAGGTCTGGAAGCGACTTCCAGAGGTCATCTAGTTCAACCCTGAGGCACGATCTTCCTCATGCAAACCATCCTATACAAATTCATAATCTAAACTCTACATAAGACGATGAGCAACCCTATCACAACACAGACTTAACGCCCTAACCTGCCACATCTGCACCGGGGTCCACAGAGCCTATTAGGTGCTGGTCACCCCTCCCCTTCCTTCCTGCTCTGCTGCAGCTGGCCTTGTGTAGCCCTGTGCCGGTTGTTGCAGTGGGCTGGCAAAGCCCCTTGCTGGCTGCTGCCACCCATGGCTTCCTGGGCAGTGCTGCCTGCCTGGTGGGACTTGTCAATCCTTTGGCCCCCAGCTCCTCATTCTGCTCCACGCGTGTGGGTGCAGCCCCCTCCTCCATAGCAGGGTGGGGCAGTGCAGGCGATGGCCTGGGGCTCAGCATGCCCTCCCCTGCCTGCCTGATTTTGCAGTCATAGCTTGGATCCCAGGGCTTCTGCACCTCTACAGTGTGCCTTGCCTGCCCGGTCCATGCCCAGACCTGGGCTAGGACCCACCTGCTTCCCCATTTTGTTATGAGGCATGGCCCTGTGGAGCCACTGAGTCCCTGATGCAATTTTGGGGCACTGGAAGTGCTGGTGCTGGGCAGGGGCACCCCACAGGCTGGGCCAGAGCAGCCCTACATGGGCCAGGACAGTGGTCGCCATACTTATTAATCATTTAACTGTTGTAATTACAATAGATTAAACTGATATTTTTTAAAGTGGTATTTACATCCCTACTATCAATACATTCTGAAGACAAACTTCTTAAACCTTGGAAGACTTTAAATAATCTAAGAAGCACTTGTAATACCTCAGGAACCACTCCTCCTCTTAAACTTGTTGCCAGAAGTGTCACACTTGTACATGTAAGTTAGGTGTCAAGTTTCATTTGTAGGCACCTAAGGAAAAAGGTCAGAGATGCTGATCATGTTAAACCCCTGCTGAAATCACTGGGAGTGTGTGAAACCTTTGAAAGCCTGTCCACATAATTAAGTTCCTTCTTCTAGCACCAAAGTCTCCACATAATACACCAACACCCCCAGAATGAGATTGTGGCATCATGATCTCACTCCGAGGTAAGAGCCAAGAGGGCATTATTGGGCAACTGAGCCCATAAAGTAATTTTCTACAGGACTGAAATTCTTTCAGCAGCTTAACAACATATTTTATAACAGTATTGCAAGCTGGCTGTTCATTGCATACCCATAAGGCAGAAGAAAAAAGGAGGTGAGTTCAGGCGAATTTTGCCCATAAAAACGTGGGAAAGCTTTCTCTAGAGTTTAAATTTTGGATTTTAAACTTCTTTGCAGAACAACAAGAAAGTTTTTTTACCTCCCTGCCTGCCCTCTGACACCTTCAGGGAAGTAATTCTACCTGATCAAAACATCAAAGAGCTACTTAGCACAGCTCACAAAGACACTGTCATGGACCCAGAGGGACAGCCTTCCATCTTCAGCACTCACTGTGTAAAAAAGTTTATATCCTACATATCGGGACTTTTTACCATCTTGTACAACCTACACTTTTCCCAGAGCCTGATAAAGGGACTTTGATCCCAAAAGCTTGCGGAAAAGGATAACTTTCTTGCCATTTTCTAGTTGGTTTAGTAAAAAGTATCATTTTGGAACCAAGACTTGTAGTTTTTTGTAAATCTCTAGCAAAACACTCATTGTGAGTGACCATCCATCCTCCACTCTGCAGAATTGTGGGGAAGGACTTACCAAAGAATCATCTAAACCCACAACAACTTCTACTCTCCAATATTTACTCAGTGCTAGCCTACAGAGTTTAAGTCATGCTAAGACAGAAGATTTAATGACAGCGTGGCATCAATAAATACAATTCCAAAAGGGCAATTTATTACATGCACAACAATTTTCAACATATTCTCTCCAACTAGATAACTGCCTGTTTTACAGAAACTCTTTTTTTCCCAATTAACTTTTGTTTAATGCTATGGAATACATATTTACATTTTGATGACCTTAAAAGTCAGAATTTACAAGGCAGCCCTACACTTACTCCTTTTGATTACCAATACTTTTGTGCAAGACATTTTTTATTATAGCCTTGCTCAGTGTCTAAAGATTGTTTGTTGCTGTAAAAAAAAAATTCTTAACAGTCATAAAAAACATCTAAGAAGTTCTTTGACAACAGCAGAGCTGTAAACACTGATACAGGGAGGGGGAGGAAAGCATGTAGATGAATTCTGTTATTCCATTACGAATGTTATTTCAAAGGGTTGTTTTTTGTTATTTTCTTTTGCTTGTTTTTGTTTTGTTTCCCAATTAATTTATGAGTTGAGGGTGGTAGTGATTGAGGGAGGGGGGAGATGATCTGGAAACAGCATTAAGGAGGTAAAAGCTCTGTACTCTGGGAGGGTGGGAGTCCAACTTGTGCTTCACCCAAAGTATGACATCTTTAAACATGGGACTATACAAATCAAGAACCTCACCTTTTCTTCTGCATTAAGGCTAAGTACAGACAGTCAAAAAG